TCAGTTTTAGTCATGTAATTGGATGGGTAACTTGTGTTCCTCTGTCTCACGCACGGGCTGAGTCTAGAAAGTGAAGCAGGTAATCCAAAATGTGGTTGCTATCTCATTAACCAGTCAAACCGCCGGATAAGGGGTCCGCCAAACGGCACAAAGCTGAGGGGATGACCTCACGACGGGACTTCGCTGCTGGCTGCGTGTGAGGCGTCACGGCGGGTCCTGCCCCTCCAACGGCTGAACCCTTGGGGACCTCTCAGCCCTTCGGGCACAGCAGCAGCAGCACCAGAGCAGGAGGGCACTGACCGTCCCTCTGAGGCCCCGTATAGAGCACAGCATGCCTGGTCCGCAGCACGTGGAGCGGGTGGCCTGCTCCGTTTGCCAAACCCGCCCAAATGGGGCTTTCCCATGTGCTCCAGCCTCAGCACACAACCTGTGCCTCCACACATAGGTGAAAATAGTTTCACTGCTAGGTATAATCACGCAGGTCCCTGGCTACCCAGTTAAACTGCTCTGGTTTAGGGAAACAAACATGATTTGCTGGTGTGAGGCAGCACCTTTACGTTCCTAGCTCTGTCTTCAAGGAGAGGAACCTTGCTGGACGCTCCACCAGCACCTGCCTCAGATCAGACTCTTAGTGTCGTGCAGAGACTGCCAAGTATGTTTGATGGGAAGACGGGAAGGTTGAAATGAAGCTGGGGAGGAGGTCAGAAAGGCAAGGATGAGCCGGTAGACAGAACAAAGAGCATTAAAAGCTGGAGTGTTTCAGCATAAGAGCAGGAAGAAGCGATTACATTAGGTTGGTGCACCAGTGTGGAACCTAGGGAAGGCACAGAAAATATAGAAATCTATAGAAAAGCTTTGTGCCTAAGTCCGTGAGGTTTATTCTCAGCTATTGCTATTTCACAGGTTTTAATGCTTTTTGCCAGCAGAACTAATTACCTGAAACTACCCCATCTGCATGTCCTCCATAGTGCTGCACAAGTTGGTGGTCAGAGTTGGGTTCCTCCAGATATTTGCTTTTCTTCCTATTTCTTTTCAGGAACCTAACTTATTAACATGGGCCAAGCCAGCCTAACATGTCTGCAGAATCAGTTGCCACAAAAAGCACAGGACTGATAGTCCGAATTTCAGTTAGTACTACACGTCATCCACTCCTACAATGTAGGAATCAAGACACTTAAATATCACACTGCTTATTAGGTCAGTAGATCTAGTTTAGTAATCTAGCAAAAGAAAAACAAAGTGCCAGGCAGAATCTACATATGGGTCCCTACATGAAAAGAAAATTTAGAAGGAAAAATCCTGGAACCATATGTGACAAAAGGAATTTCCTCTCATCAGCACAAGCAGCAGAAGGATCCACGGGTCTGCATTTGTTCAGAAATTATGGATAAGCTTTGGACACTGTTGCTGTCAAACTTAATTGCAGACCAGAAGTTGCAACTTCATTATATAACCAAAAGAGAAAGTAATTTGCTGTTCCCAGTCTAAATCTCAGTGAATGTGAAATATTGTGGCATCTGCACCTTTTCGGGGTATATCAGTAACCTGAATAGGAACTAATTCAGAAGTCATTACTTAGGCTCAATGCTTTTGATTAAAAAGCAGGGCTGATCATTAGCAACACGGAGCCCTTCATACTCTAAGATCTTCCATTATTTATTTTAAGCCAGACCTTTGTTTTCTTCTGCTATCAGTTTTCTGTCATCAGAATTACAATTCAATATGTTTTGCAATAGAAAAAAGGCTGGATATCTCTTGCTTAAAATATCTAACTGAAAGGTGATTTGAATCACTGAAAAGCTGAGGAGTTTATACCAATTTAATTCTAACAACTTCAGTTGAACATAACAACCCAAATTCCTTGCTCTGGAGTTACATCAAGGATGAACTGCGTCACAGGCAGCTTGCTTCTTAGAATCAGAAAGATAGCCGATGAAAAGAGCAGGTGCAATTTAAAAGGGGTTTTAAATTATATCCTATAACACACTACTTACATTACCCATATTGTGCTCACTTAGATGACTAAGTCTATTCTCTAATTACACTGGAGATGATTATGGCTGAGTATAATCTACCTAAGAATTATTAGACTGTCTACAGAATGATTACATACCAGCGACACAGAAATCTTTGATGCTTCCCTTCTGTGTAAGCTGTCACGAACTGCATAAACCAGCAAGGATGAGTGGTTAGAGCATGGTCCTGGGAATCAAGAGATCCTGGGGTATATGTTGTTCTGCCATAAGCTTGCTGCTCGGCTTTGGATAATTCTTGTAACCTCGTGGCAATTAAGTTACCTCATACATGAAATGGGGAGTGCATTTACTCACAGCTGCATCTTTGAAATCTTTGCATGGAGACTGCTGCATAAACAGCAAATACAAAATTATAGTAATTAGGACAAAGTCACAATGCTTATCTATTGATTATTTGCTGTTTGTCTTTAATAACATAACAACAGAATTTATGGATATTTTAAAAATGTTTTTTTCTCCTGGAAAAGATGAGTTTCCAACAGGATGAAACATCAAAGAAGGAGAGCGGGAAGGACACATTGTTTAGAAAAGAGAATTTCAAAGAACCTTTGTTCCTTGTTTTATCTGTGAAAGAGACCAAAAGGCAAGCACAGCAACATAGAGCTTAAGTTACAGTTTATTTTTGTTCTTCTTTAAACACCTCCTTAGTTGGAGATCAAAGCCTATTCAGCAGAACTAGTACCCAAAAATCCTCAGGACACTGCAGCACTAATCTTTGATTCATCATTTCCAAAATACTTTCCTCTGCAAGTTCAAGACAGCAGCCATGCAGGCATACAACCGATGGAACTAGTTTTCTCAGCAAACAGTGTTTAGAAGGAGAGAAGTTGGCTTAATGCAGACAGTAAAAAAGTCCATCTAAGTGTTGAAATTATATTAAAAAAAAATCTACTGTGATAGATTTGGTGAAAGGGTAGTGCAGCCAAGAAACCCTTTTGTTAGTATTCATTTTTGTTATTTCAAGCCACCATCTTATTCTTGTTCTCTCTGGTGGAGCACTGATTTGGAGTACCTAAAAATCAGATGAACGCGGGTTGTACGGAACAAATGTACCTGGTCACTGCTAAGTCGGAATTCTAAGCCTGTACCCATAAAGGCATCCCACTAAACATAGGTGATTCCTCTTGAGTTATAGGAACAAAAAAACTTCTTACAGAAGAGTTAGTAACATTGAAAAACCCTGCGAGACCCTAAGATAATAGTTACACCATAGGCCAGTAAATTCAACTGATGTCATGGAACAAATCTAAAGAGCAAAAAGTATCAATGATACTTGGGTGTTTTGGGTTTTTTCTATAGTCAGGAGACTGGAGCAGAGTTGGGAGTACTTCTCCCACACTAAAGGTGGCTCTGCCCATAACAAAGAACGAGGGTGGCAGGTACAATATTTTGAGGTGAAGTAAAGGTGTTACCTGCTGGACTCAGTGAATGTTCAAAATGAAAAAGTTAGGAGAAATCCTGGCTGCAGCCCCTTTGTCCAATTATACCATTGAAGATTAATCTATGGAAATGGTTGCAGCTGTACGTAAGATGTCACTGTAGGCACAATGGCAGCTCAGATGCCGAGCTCTTACTCATGTGCCACAGAAGGTGACTAATTTCTCCACTGCACAAGTGACAGAACACAACTGCTTAGCCTGTGTCACAGGGACAGAAGACTGTGCTGCAAGGACTCTGGGCATGCTGCAGTTACCCTCGGTGCCTAGAAGCCTATCAGGCACCAATAGCACTGAACCACACAAACAAGCTGCTCCATTGCCCATTTAGAAAGGTTGTCTTCTTCTGGAGTAATGATTTGTCAAAAAAGCATCAGTCTCTTGCTTTGTTTTCATAAATTTTGTAGTTTTCCTTGTTTTACTTTACAGTAACCTGTGACAGCATACTTATTTTCATAACTCTAAAAGGTATCACAAGACATGTTTATTATCATCTGCTTATAAATTCTGTGAGCCTGGAGCTTTTTTAGTGTGTTAGAACAGCACCTGTAACAATGAGGCTAAAACACTTGACAATAGCTTAAGACTCATAATCATTAACAGTCAAGGCGGGTGGAAGAAGGAACTCCATCATCCTGAGAAGATAAGCCAGTAATGACAACAAAGAAGCAGAAAATACAGAGACAACAGCATTACTTTCTTATGCAATGATCCTTTTTAATCTTCATGTATGCTTCCATTGCTGTGATGCTGCCTGTACAGAAATGCTTGTAGCAGACCGATGAACTAGAAAAGGCATGTCACTTCCCTCTGCAAGAAATGTGCTATAGTAACTATGTGCTATATTGTTACCCTTATTATATTAAAATTCAAGTGTAGTTTTTCTCAGCTTAGCATTATTCATAAAATTGCAACAGCTTGAACATCAATATGTAAGACAAAAACCAGTTCTGGTGTTATATAGGTGATACAGGAGTTCATTAAAGTGACTGCATATCTGAAGCAGCTTTGTATTTTATATTAGTGTGTCATGTCTGAATAATCTACGTGTAAATTGCTGCAAATTAAATCCCGGCACTTAGACAAAAGATTGGACAGTAACACAAGGGACAGAAAATGCCACTACGTGATTTATCAGCCATCTGGTGCAGTGCAAATAGTACTCATTCAGGGGAGGTTACAGTCTTCTGATTAGTTACCACAGCAACAGGTCTGCTGAGTATGCTTAAAAAGTTATGCATGTGTCAGCAACCTTTTTTCTCCTCCCATACACATCATACACTGGGGGCTGTGAGCAATGGCATGTCCTTCCTAGGCTACAGATGTTTTTGCTGCAGCATTTTCCATTATTCTGCTTTTCAGGAGACTTAAAACTTGGCCAGCTATTTGTGGGGGGGGTTGGTTTTTTTTGGGGGGGGGGGGGGGTTTTGTTTTTT